AGAAGAAGAAGAAGAAGAAGAAGAAGAAGAAGAGAAGAAGAAGAAGAAGGGTCTGTCGAAATCTGATGGGTTGCCCATACAGTCGACCCCCTTAATCTATATTAGACTAATAATCTTTACAAAGACAAAAATGCCCTTACTTAATTGTGGGACAGAGCAACTCTAATAACACTGCACATAAGCAAGCTACTTAACAAACATAAGAAGACTAAACTACCCCTATTCGGCACACTTTAACAATTTCCTATTCTTATAAGGATCCTAAAAGCTATAAATAAAGAAGTGTACGGGGCGGCAGATCATTCACCACCGAACCCCTTCTTTCTTCTCTCCTCTCTCTCTCTCTCTCTTTTCTTCTCTTCAAACCTGTAATACAGTAAACAGTTCTTCTTCTTCTTCTTCTAAGTTGGTATCAGAGCCTTAGATCTAGGGTTTCTCATGTGGATTTAATTCAACCGACCACATGAGAATTGTTTAGGGCTGAAAGTTCAGAAAGATCCTTATTTCAGCTAATTCTTGGAGGTTGCAAGAAGGCTTTAGTAGGTGTCCTAAGATTGGAGAGAGCTTCTTGAAATCAGGAAGAATCAGGCATGAATTGAGTGGTCAAGATCGATTCTTGATCAGGTTGGAGGTGCCGATCAGCTTTGTCTTGGTTCTTTGATCAAAGGGATATTGCTGTTATGAGCCAGTTTCAGGGAAGCGCATTGTGTCCATAGATGTCACCTTCTTTGAGGATATGCCCTACTATCATAAGGCTTCTCCTCAGGGGGAGAATAGTGAGGAAGGGATTTCAGTTTCAGCTCCAAGAGTTCCTTTACTTATCCCGGTTACTGAGGGGGGAGTTGCGAAGAAGGTTGTCAAAAATGGAGGGAGTTGAGAGTGAATCACAGAAAGTGGTGGAGGCAGGTTGATTCTCGTACTCAACAATAATCCAGGCCAATTCCAACATCTTCTACAACTCCAGATCCAGACACTACTACTGCTCCCACCGTTGATCCCACTGTTACAGAGGTTCAGCCTTCACCGACAGATGACCTTGATCTTCCAATTGCTATTCGTAAAGAGAAGTGTCATTGCACCTTATCCACTGCCCATTGCATCTCCAATTACCTTTCCTATAATTTTCTCTCAAATCCTACAGATCTTACTTGGCATCTATTTCTACTATTCCTATACCCAGAAAAGTACAAGTAGCTCTTTTGATACCTAAATGGAAGGAAGCAATGCAAGTAGAGATGGATGCTCTTGTCAAGAACAACACATGGGAACTAGTTAACCAGCCTGAAGGGAAGAAACCTGTTGGATGCAGATGGGTGTTTACTGTGAAATATAATGCTGATGGTACTGTAGAGAGGTATAAGGCCAAATTGCTTGCAAAGGGATTCACACAAACTTGTGGCATAGACTATACAGAAACCTTTGCACCTGTTGCAAAACTGAATACTATCAGAGTTCTTCTATCCATTGCTGCAAACTTCTCGTGGCCACTATTTCAGCTGGATGTTAAGAATGCCTTCCTCAATGGAGACTTGTAAGAGGAAGTATACATGGAGCTACCCCCTGGTTTTTATAGTATAGAAGCAGGAAAGAAAGTTTGCCTTTTGAAGAAGGCCTTGTACGGGCTGAAACAATCCCAAGAGCTTGGTTTGATAGGTTTAGACTGGCTTTGGACAAATTCGGATACATACAGGCTCAGTTAGATCACACTCATTGTGATAACAGTAAGTGACACTAATGAAATTGAAACCCTTAAACAACACCTTCACAAGGAATTTGAAGTGAAAGGCCTAGGAAAGTTACACTATTTCCTAGGAATTGAGGTAGCTTGATCTAAGCATGGCATTTTCATCTCCCAAAGGAAGTATGTTCTAGACTTATTGGAAGAAACTGGCAAGTTAGGAGTGAAACCTATTGATACTCCCATTGAGCCTAACCATAAGATAAGTGCAGAAAGTGGAAAACACCTTGAAGACAGGGCTATGTACCAAAGGCTAGTTGGGAAACTTCTTTATCTCTGTCTAACCCGACCAGATATTTCTTATGTCATCAGTGTTGTCAGTCAATACATGCATTCTCCTAGGACCACCCATCTCCTTGCAGTAGAAAGGATCCTTGCCTACTTAAAGAGATGTCTAGGGAGAGGTATACTCTTCAAGAATAACGGTCATATGAAAATACAAGTGTATACAGATGCGGATTGGGATGGATGTGTTGATGATAAGAGGTCCACCTTTGGATATTGTGCATTTGTGGGGGGAAATCTTCTTTCCTGGAGAAGCAAGAAACAAAATGTTGTTGCTCGCTCCATTGCAGAAGCGGAATACAGATCCATGGCCAATGGTGTTGCAGAAGTGTTATGGCTAAGATCCTTGCTTAATGAGTTGGAGGTTGATTATGAGAAGCCTCTGATGCTATATTGTGATAATCAAGCTGCAATTAATATTTCCCACAACCCAATACAGCATTGACAGGACTAAGCATATCGAGGTTGACAAACATTTTATCCGAGAGTGAGTCGCATCTCAAGAAGTATGCCTTCACCTCATACATGCAATTAGCTGATCTCTTCACCAAATCAGTCACAAAAGGCAAATTGGAGACAGATCTATGCAAGTTGGCCATGACAAATATCTATTTCCAACTTGAGGGGGAGTGAGGAAATAGTTGGTTAGCCATGAGTGTGGGGTTCCATACCACACTCAGGCTCTAGTGCGTGTGGCTTCATACCCACACCTAGTTGTTTCTAATTTCTTTTATTAGTAGTTTCTAATTTCTGTTATTAGAAGTTTCTAATTTCTGTTAAGTTGGGCAGGATGGCCTTATTGTTTCTAATTTTTGTTTATTTCCTATTCTTGTAAGGATCCTAAAAGCTATAAATAAAGAAGTGTATGGGGCGGCAGATCATTCACCACCGAACCCCTTCTTTCTTTTCTCCTCTCTCTCTCTCTCTCTCTCTCTCTCTCTCTTTTCTTCTCTTCAAACCTGTAATACAGTAAACAGTTCTTCTTCTTCTTCCAAGTAATCATATTATAACTATTGATTCATCATATTTTGGTAATATTCCAGGCAGTTCTTGAGAAGCTGAGTTATATGCTCATTGGGAGGCTTGATGTTGAAAATTTGATGCGGCTTGATCCAGCTAGTGCATATTTACCAAATTCATTTGCTCAACCAGATGAGGAAAGCAGTGCTTCTAATGCTGAAACTGTTGAAGCTGAAGCAGGAATAAGTGACTTATTGTGGGCCTTGCGGCCAATCAAGCAGGTATCCTTTAGGTTATGTTTGGTTTGAAGGAAAAGGTAGGGAAAGGAAGAGAAAAGCAGTAAAACTTATATAAGGTTTGTAAAGGTTTGCCTACCTTTCCCTTCATTTCCCTGCATTTTCCTTCAAACCAAACATAACCTAATGTAACAGGAAGCTGTTGAACTTGAGAATTTGCCAGTCATTCCACATCATTCCTGTAACATTGGCTACTTTCTTCATGATGAGTGGTTAGATTATTCGATCTGCTTTTCTTGAACTACAGATCTTTTCCACATCTGAACCTCTTTTCCAGTAAATATAATTTTATGTTGCACTGATGAATGATTGACATCCTGCCATTTCCTCTATTTCTTGCATAGGAGAATCTTATCCATGATGACAACAAACTCATTTTGCTGGCATCCCTCAGTGACTCATTGGAATATGTGGCAGACTCCATTGAAAGGTAAGTTGTCTAGTTTGTTGAATTCTTGGTTTCTATATTGGTGCCATCATTTACTTAACTTCATTTGGCTTAAGGATAACATATAAGTTATCTAGTAAAGTTAATTAAAATAATAGTCATTAATTTGGATTTTGGATGAAAAAGGCATAGTTCGTTGGGCATGACACTGGAAGCTATTGTTCATTTTCCCACCCACAGAAAGCACCTGTGTTCTCAGTTAATGTCCGTCCAATACTAATGCCATCTTATGGTAAAATTTGTTCACATATACCATTACATATAATTTTACGGTAAAATTTGCTCGTTCAATATGTTTCATGTAATTTCAACAGTAAATTTGTTCAAATATACTATAAAATTTGTTCTAGTATCTGGATATCATGCATCCCACATCATACTTTGTATGACAGCTAAAACATTTTGGTGGAAACAAGCACTAACCAGATCTTCCAATGTTTAATCGCCATGTGGTATGAAAACAAGCATGAATTGCTTTAGATAGAACATACATGAACCTTGACAAAGTCAAGATGCATTTGTATTACCCACGACTGATGATAAACCACCAGAGATAGAACATCAAGCTTCATATCCCTGATCATAGAGAGAACCCCAGCAAATCATCCAATCTCCTCAGTATTTCATACCTTCTAACAGCTTTGAAGTCTCCCAAATTCCAACACTAAGGATTGATCCATGAGCAAAGAAGCAGGATCCATAGACCGGTCCACTGCTGCCACTACGGCCGGATTGAGCTCCCTGAGCTCCACCTCTAACAGTACGGCCTCCCCTTCTTGACACTGTGAAGGCAGACCTGTCAGAAATATTAGAATTCTCTGTAGGCCCAATAGAGATCCTCCGAAGACAGGCAAACACCTCTTCTAGAGACGAAAGAGCTGACTCTCCTAGTATTTGTGCTCTCACTGGTTCATATTCAGGTTTCAATCCTACTAAAAATCTGGTCACATCTAGTTGTTCTCTCTGTTGTTGCTGACTTTTAACATCAGAAGTGAGGGAATGGTACACATTCAACTCATTGTGAAGGTTCCTCATGTTAGCATAGTACTCCTCAAGACTCTGATTACCCTGTTGCAGATTAAAGTACTCCTGATAAAGCTGGTACACTCTAGTTGTGTTGTCTTGTCCCGAATACAGCTTCTTGTCATGGTCCCAAATCTCCTTAGGTGTATCTAGGAACATGAAATTCACACTAATCTTGGGTTCCATACTATTCCATAACCAGGTCATAATCTGTGCATCCTCTTGTTCCCAATCACTATACTCATGAGACTCAGTAGAGGGTTTTTCTTCCCTTACATGCTTCACTTTCTTCTTAGCTCCAAGAAAGACCTCTACGGATTTTTCCCAAGGCACATAGTTCTCTCCATTCAATTTGATAGAAGTCCTGAACATTCAGGTAATCGGTGGGGACCATCACACTAGTTTTGTTTTCGCTGTTATCTCCCATATCTGAAAAAAATTCCTTTAATTCACTTCTCACCACACTGCACACTAGTAAAGAAAACACCTACAGTCACAAACTCAGCACCACCCGTTATTGAATTCTTCACTCTCCACACCACAACACTACTACACAACTACCTGAATACACACCATAACACTTGCAACTCACCAACCATTTGATCCACACTGAAATCCCCGCATAACCCACCTATCTAATCACCAAAAAACCGACCTACACTCAACTGTCCACTGCATCACCTGAAACAGCCCTCTTCTCACCATCAATTAGGGGGGGCTTCCTACAAATCACTACAAACACCCACCAACCTACTGACCGGAGCTCCAAGGGGAAAGGGCAACCACTCCTTTTCAGCCCCTTTCCCTATCTCCAACAGATGATGAAGAAAAAATAAAAACCCAGCTGAATGGCGAGGAAAACAGAATTCTGGGCAGATCTGATTTTGTCACAGTGGCTCTAATACCATGATAAAGTTCTGATCTGCACTAGAATTCTGTTAGTATTAGTATTAGAGAGGTATTAGAAGAAATACTAGAGAGAATAGAAGAAGAAAAGAAGAAGATAGAATAGAGAAGACAAATCTGATTCGAACTAGAGAGCTTAATCATTCTCTCTAGTCGGCCAGGTTATGTTTATATGTTTCTATCCAATAAACAAAAGACTATTATGTCCCTACTTAAGTATGGGACACATCACTTAACATAAACATTACACATCAGCTTTAAACATAAATAGAAAGACTAAATTACCTCTATACAGTTGACACTAACACATCCCTTGCATCATTGCATATTAATTCATAAAGGACTTTTTATAGTTTCTTTTAAATCAAATATCTTGACTATTTATACATATGATAAGCCTTAAATATTTAACTTACAAATATTCTAGCTTCTTTTGTGAATCTAGAAAGATTCCTATTGTGAAAAAGCTTAAAAAGACACCCTATTTAGTGTTTTAGGGCACAGAAAAACTGCATTATTAACGAACTCAATCATTATTATTAATCTCCATATGCAATTATAATTTTTTGTTAAGAAGTCTATCATTGTTGGAGGCATGTAATTCAATATTATTCTACCATGCCTTAAATCTGGCACATTGTTGATCCAACAATTTAGGCTTGGGCAAACGTCCCTAATATCATCAATGCAAGTAGATGAGGCCCATCGGCATACAAGGACCAGCAGCATTCCTCCCAGAGATTTGGAATCATTTGCTGAAGAGTATAGGAAACTAGCAATTGACTGCCTGAAGGTTCTACATGTAGAGATGCAATTGGAGACTATATTTCATATGCAGGTTTTGTTATACTCTTAAGTAGTTAGTACACATTTGTGTACTTTTCAAAATAAAATTCATGTGATCAAATCTCCCTGGAGGAATAGAAAAAAAAATGAATCTTTCAATTCTAACAGGAAATGATGACTAGGGACTACTTGGATGATCAAGATGCAGAAGAACCAGATGATTTTGTTATTTCACTTAATGCACAGGTTTGACTATTTTCTTCCTCTCTTTTGTGTGTGTATGTATTTTGCCATTGTCCTTTTCTTTCATCTTTATTGGGGAAAGTCACACTGTTGGAAATGTTCATGTGAATTTCCATATATTTGATGTCAATGGTTACTTTTCTAATTATCATGGAGTTTAAAATAAATAAATGTATCGATTCTTATTTATTAAAGGTGTAGCTTAATGATAAAAATCTTTTCTATGTGCAGAACCCTAATTTTTTTTTTCTGAGGGGTGAGGGTGCAGTTTGATAAATATGTTTCTCCTCATACTAAAAAGTAAAAACTGCTATCTTGTCCCCAATAATTAATGGGCTCTTCTTCTGGACCATCATGGAGTTAGAGATTCAAAGGCATACGATCTAAACTGACACTAGTCACAGTTTTCAAATCAGTTTCTTCATATGACATGTTTCTTGTAAACAGCTTGAATGCATTTTTTTCGTGTAGAAATCAAGATGAAGATGGTTTTGAAAATTTTAGGTAGATGGCATGGCATATGGGTTTAGATGGTGAGAAATGGTCTAAGGACTCACAATTTAAGAGAAAAGGGACCCCACCAATTGGAGAGAAAAATCCACTGTTCCAATTAGGCATACCTCTGTGCAAGATTACAAGACAATCCTGCTTAAGTGGCAAAACGGAATTTCCTCTAATACCCCTGCTTATGTAACAAAAACAGAATGAACTATTATACACCTTTCTAATATAATAGAAACACAAATAACACTAACCAAGAAAATCCATATACTCATCATGTATAAACAGTACCTTCTGAGGAAAGTTCTAGTTTAACATGCAGAAATTATCAATGCCCTTTTGCTGAATAAATTATCTTGTGTGTTCCATTGTTTAAGAAATATCAGATTTCTAATTGAGTTTTTCAAAGGTAACATTCCTTTGAGAATTTAATTAATTATTATTTCACTTTTTATTTATAGATAACACGCAGAGATGAGGAGATGGCTCCTTTTGTTGCAAAAGTAAGGAGGAAGTATATATTTGGTGGAATATGCAGTGTTGCAGCACATGCATCGATTAAGGTTTCTTTTTATGTTGCTTTGCTTTTAATTGAATATTCTAGTTACATTTATAGAGTAATTAGTTTTTATGATACCCAGATACTTGTACAAGGGTGCTTTATCATGTTGGATACTTCAATTTTAAGTATAAATTCCATATCCAACACCATATCTAGCTGTATCCTTGTATATGGACAACATAGATTAGTTCTTTAGTCACAACTCCCTACTCATAATACAAAATGTAAATTATCTTGCCAGGCTTTAGTGGAAATGAAATCTATCAACCTTTTTGGCGTTCAGCAGATATGCCGAAATTCAATTGCATTGGAGCAGGTAGGTTTCATTTGTAGATATTCAATTTGGTATTATTATGATTCCTTTTTTATAATTACATACAATATTTTGTTTGCTAATGTTTTGAAATTTCTGCATAAAAAATCTTTGTGCATAGTGTGAAAGTCACTAACATTTTGGGAATTGGAACAATTTCCGGTTCTTGGAACTTTTTGTTTGTATACACACACAAGGGACCACCAAGGGACTGGTTTAGATATATTACAAATACTGGAGATATTTCCAACTTTGGTTTTGTCAAAGGATTGTAAAATTATCTTTGTGCTTTAGGGATATTAAGAGCCAATGTTTTACAACTACAAGCTTATATTTTGCATGTACCTCTTTTTGTTTGTAATCAATAATGTATCTATGTAAAAAGCAGTTCAAACCGAATATATAAACAGATCTCTTTGGGTGTAACTAATGTCAGACTATGCCCAAAAGAATAACTTTATATTAATGAGGCAAAATGTGAGAAAAGATAATTATGTCCTTTTACAAAGACAAAAACAAATTTGTACACAATGATGCAATGTGTACATGATACATCCATACTCCCAACCCATAAATAATGGAGAACACACCAAAATTACACAATCATATCTAAGATTATCTACACCCCCCCCTTCTCAAATTGATGTCATGGTGCAGGCATCAGTTTGTCAATAAGAAACTATTTCTAGAACAAGCAATCTCTATGTCCTCCAAGGAACTGATCTCTAATGAAGTGGCAAGTGTTGTGATTGGGCCGATTTTAAGTTATTGGGCCCAGCTTTTATTTTTTATTTAAGTTGTTAAGTTAGGAAGTTATAGGGCTTTAGGCCCATTAGTTTATGTTATTTTAAGTTGTAACTGTTCAGCTACTTAAAGTACTAAGGGTATTCTTGTAATCTTTCATTCTTTTATTTTAAGTATATAAATCAAGAGGGGTTGGCGGCCAGATCTGATTGTTTATGTGGATGACATTGTAGTTACAGGAAATGACCTAAGTGAGATTGATAGTTTGAAGAAGAATTTGCATAGAGAATTTGAAATTAAGGATCTTGGGGAGCTGAGGTATTTCTTGGGCATTGAGGTTGCAAGATCAAAGCATGGAATTTTTATTTCTCAGAGGAAGTATATTCTGGACCTTTTACAAGAAACAGGGAAACTTGGAACAAAGGCAGCCAGTACTCCTATTGATCAGAACCACAGAATTAATGGATCAAAAGGTGAGCTAGTAAAGGACATTGGGAGATATCAGAGACTTGTGGGGAAGCTACTATATTTATGTACGACAAGACCAAACATCTCCTATGCAGTGAGTGTGGTGAGTCAATACATGCATGTCCCACGAGTTCAACATTGGGAGGTTGTTGACAGGATTCTTGCTTATCTGAAGGGACACCCAGGCAGAGGCATACTATTTGCTGACCATGGACAGTTGAAGCTAGAGGCTTACACAGATGTTGATTGGGCAAGATGCCTTGATGACAGGAGATCTACATCAGGAGTTTGCACTCTTGTTGGGGGTAATTTAGTTTTGTGGAAAAGTAAGAAACAAACAGTTGTGGCAAGAGCAAGTGTAGAAGCTGAATACAAAGCCATGGCACATGGAGTTTTAGAGCTTCTCTGGATTCGTTCCTTGTTAGGAGAAATTGGTATTGAGGCAGAAGAACCTATGATGTTGTACTGTGATAATCAGGCGGCAATTAACATTGCCCACAACCCAATTCAGCATGACAGGACAAAGCACATTGAAGTGAACAGACATTTCATAAGAGAAAGGGTGACTTCAAGGGAAGTTTGTCTCCCATACATTGCTTCTGATTTGCAGCTTGCTGATGTTCTTACAAGAGGTGTTGCAAGAAACAAGCTGGAGAACAATCTACGCAAGTTGGGAATGTGTGACATTTACTCCCAACTTGAGGGGGAGTGTTGAGATTGGGCCGATTTTAAGTTATTGGGCCCAGCTTTTATTTTTTATTTAAGTTGTTAATTTAGGAAGTTATTGGGCCTTAGGCCCATTATTTTATGTTACTTTATGTTGTGACTGTTCAGCTACTTAAAGTAGCCGCCCTACTAAGGGTATTCTTGTAATCTTTCATTCTTTTATTTTAAGTATATAAATCAAGAGGGGTTGGTGGCCAGATCTATTCAATTCTGGCGACATCCCACTCTCTTTTCTTTTCTCCTCTCCTCTATTGCTGAAACCTTTCAGCTTCTTCTACTTTTCTTCACAAAGATCCAGGGTGTTAATGGAAAGGGACACAAGGTGGGGAACAAACTAGATCCCCTTGTCTGCAGGTATAAGATTCTGCCTGAAGTTGATATATCTTAGCATAGTGTCTGTATTCTGAGTAGGTAAACTTAGCTTGTTCCCAAATCTCACAAGCAGTATCAGCCCACATAAAGTTCCTCCTCGCATGGGGTAACATAGAACCCAAAAGGCAAGACATCACCATACTATTCTCCTAATCCCACCTATCATGTTCAACCGAACCAGATTTAGGTTCTTTAAGCTTCCCATTCATGTAACCAGCCTTTCAGACCACTCCAAGTAATTTAACCCATCCAAGGGAGCTATAGTCATAAAAAAAAAAAGAAAAACTCATACTGTCCATCCCTCCTTTGAGGTTTCCTTGAGAGGAAGTGACACTATATGGTATTGAGTCTTCACTAGCCATTAGACAACCACTCATTGCTGGTCTCTCAAGAAAAAACAGGGTTCCACACACCTCACACAAGAGCCACTAAGCTGTAACAGATCAAACTGATCAAAAACGATATGACAGCACACCCAAACAATAAACTCAGCAATAATGGAGATCTGGAAACCCTAGCCGAATAAATACCTTGCCCTTACACTTCATAAAAAAGAGACAGTCCCCAAAACTCCAACTGTGGCATTCACATCTCACTGCACACTTTCTGCTTGAATGAAACAGTACATACCTGAAGTAGAAAAGGATCCCATGATCCATAGTACAAAAAAGGAAGGTCCACACCTCAAAAAATCTATTTACTGCATTCACCTGTCACCACAAGTGCCACAGGAACCTCTTCCTGGTGCAACGATCAAGAGAGAAGAAAAAAAAGGAAAAAAAAAAAAAAGAAGTGTAGATCAGTCCAGTTGAAGTTTTCTCCTTTCCCGGTCAAAAAAAGGTAGGTTCTAGCTGAGAAATCATGATCTGAATATTTTTAGAGCCCAGATCCCTGTTCTCATACCATGTAATCCAAGAAGATAAAAGAAGAAGAAGAAGTAGAAGACACCAAAAGAATGAGCTACTGGTGCTACTATTTCTATTTATTCTTAAGGTGACAGCTTTACAATAAAAGGAATAAGAAAAAACTAAAAGACCCCTGCACCTACATACTAACAGAACTAACAGACTTACAAGTCCTAGAAATATCTATGGAAGATAAAGATGGCAAAAAAGAGATATTGTCAGAAGGAAACCTATTGTAGTCAACAGGCCAAGAAACTCAAGATGAATGACATAAAATAGTAGTGAAGGAGGACTTGGATTCTTTGATACTACTGATTAGGTCATTTGTCCTTTATATCTCTTGAAACATTGTTTCCTAAGTTATTTTGGTCTCTTTTTGTTACATAGTTGGAGTGCCAGTCATGTCAATTAGGCAAGCATTGTAGAAAATCTTATTCCTCTTTTTCTTTTCCTTTGTACCTTTTCTTGAAGTCTATCCACATGGACAAATTTCTCTTTTGTCTTTTTCTTTGTTGTCTTTTCTAAAAAGTAGCTTGTCTTTTACTTTGCTTCTCATGATTTCTCCTAAAGAAGTGATCCCTTGTCCCACATTGCCTAGGAAACAAAGTTTCCTAGAGCTTATAAGTTGGAGTGTGCCAATGTGGAATAGTATTTGTTTTGGGCTAGTGGTGAGACACTGCATGTGCTAGCAGCCTAGCACACAGGCCAGGCCGGGCCAGTCCAGGTTGGGCTGGGCTTTCACACACCCACTGCGCCATGTTGTGCTATGTGTGTGCACATCTTGGCAGCCCTTTCATGTGGCTCCTTTGTTTTCATTTTTTCTTTTGTTTCTTGCCCTTACTATTGTAATGGAAGAGTGGTTTTAGTGGGATGGCTTTGAATCATGGATTTAATGGTGTTTATTGTGAGTGGTGGTGTTGTAACTGCCCAACCTGTTAGAGTCTATTTAGGTCTCTTTCTTGATACAACTCCATATATCTAAACAGAAAAATACAAAGAGAATGTTGCTGCTACTCAACTATTTACTGCTGCTTTTCTCTGAGACACACTATTGGAGGTTTGATTTTGCTCTATGAGTGGTGTATCTCATTGTATCCTAGAGTCTAGGCTGTCTAACCGCCATTAAAACTGAGCACTGAGGATATATTCCGAATGTAGAGAAGATGAGGGGTAACTTTGTAATTTTACTTTCTTTTATTTGGCTCTTTTGTATTTCTCTTTGTTCATTACTGTATATATTCTACACTTGTAAGGACAGAACTGTCCATTCGCACAGTAATATATAAATATCTTTTCTGGGCGTGTGGGACTGTACACATCCATCCATTTTCGTGTGACTCTCTTGTCTCTTCTCTTCTTAAACTAGAATCGACATGGTATCAGAGCAGGTTGCTCTCTGATTTTATTCTTGCTTCTTTGTCACTTTCTGTGGGTAGTAATCTTATCTCTCTACTGAGATCTACTGAACCGTTCAACTGGTGGAGTGAATAGGACTGTTTTTTATCAACCCTACCTGCTGTACAGACAGAGTTCGAACTCTGCAGGAGAGATTTCATTAGATCTCTCTTGGGAGATCTCATATCAGGGACAAACTTCAGATCTGGTGTCACCTAGACCAGATCTCTCTGATGTACAAATATCTCTTGATTTGGTGAAGTTTTGAAGGGGTTTTGATCCTCTTCCTTGGGCGGCTGCTACTTACAGTTTCCTTTTTTGGACTGTTGATTTTTCGACTGAGGTTTCAGACTTTGTTTTCTTACTCTAAGGGTCTCAGTGATTCCCAGTGATTATTATCTCCTTCTCAAGGTATTCCTCTTGACTTTTGGTGATTGTTATTGTCTTTTCTATAGTCTTTCTTTGGTTTCTTGACTAAATATGGGATCTAAAAGGAGTGACATCATATCTGTGAAATTCGATGGAACAAACTATGCTCTCTAGAAATTCCATTTCCAATTTCTTGTTGAAAGGAAGGGTATGTGGGGCTATCTGGGTGGTACCAAAACCATTCCTGATGCTACAGATGCTAAAGGGCTGAAACAGTGGAAAATCAGTAATGCCCAAATAGTTTCCTGGATATTAAGTTCGGTCACTGTCGATGTAGCTATCCCTATGAGGGGCCCGAAAACTGCTAAGGAGATGTGTGACTACCTTGAGAAGGTGTATCAGCAGTCAAATATGTCCAGACAATATCATATTGAAATGGACATATTCTCATACACTCAAGGGGAGAGAAGAATACAAGAATATTGTGCTGGTTTTGTTAATCTATGGACAGAATATGAACTTGTTCATCTTAGGGCCACAATGACTGATTGTTGTGTGACAACTATGAAAAGGCATTTTGACCAAAGGAAGATCATGCACTTTCTTATACATCTTAGACCCAACTTTGAGTTGATAAGATCCAGCATACTCAGCAGGGAAAATGTGCCTGACCTGGACACCATATTGGGTGAACTATTACTCAATACTTTTGGATGCTTTGATGCAGATTTTTATTATTTTTTACATTTTACATGTGAAAAATCATGGAAAATATTGTTAAGGTTTTCTGGATTGAGTGATGATGTGTGTGAGTTTTGGATGTGTTTGGCTGATAATATCTGACCCTAATGAATTTTTGAGAGAGACCAGAAGTGGTCTGGCTCAGTGGTGTTTTATTTTCTGAGCAGTGAAAATTTTATTTCTAAGACCAGTTAATTTCTATATTTCCTGCTGTGCGCTGTAATTGATGAAACAGCCCGGAACTTTCTAAATAGAGTGAGCAGTAAGTATGAAGTGGAAAGGGTATCCAGAAAAATAAATATTGCTCCCAAAAATTTGAAATCAAATTTTACTAATAAATAAGTATGCCATGGGTCAAACTTTCCCCTGATGGAATCTACAGTTGGACAAACCTGAAGCTGATTTTTTTCTATTTTCAGAGTAAAAAAATCCAAAAAAGCTATATACCTCATAGACAATCAACTGACAAAATCTCTCTAAGATTCAAGGTGGTTGCCTGGTATTGCTGCTGATGTCATCCATACATTCTGAAAGTCTTCTCTCAAAATGATTTATTTTTTGAGAGGCTTGCATATTATAATTCTTTTCACTTCAAGGAGCCTTTGCAGTTTGAAATTCATTGTTCATTAAATGCCTCTATAATCTCAAGCATATACTTGCTGGGCCAAATATGAGAAAATTTATGTAAAGAGGAGCTAAATATTCTGTTTATGTTTTCCTTGTACATCACTCTTTCTAAAGGAGTTAACTGAAATTATGGAAGCAGGTAGTATTTGGGGCACATGAGAGGGAGTAGAGTTTGGGTTAAATGGATTGGCACTATAGGCCATGGTTCATTTGCTACTTGTAGCAATTTGGAAAGAAGAAAGAAGAATTCTTGATAGTTGGCAAAAGGCCTTCGGTGCGCTTATGAAGTTTTGTTAGGAGTGCTTTTGTGGATTGGGAGTTGACTTTTCATGATTCCAAAACTTTCAGATGTAGAGATTTTGTTTATAATTGGCAATCTGCTTTGGGTGTAGAGGGGATACAGTTTTAGTCCTTGGCTTTGGCTATAGATATTTTAAACATCTGTTCTAATTATTCTTCAAAAAAGTCTATATACAGCAAAATAAAATTCCACGATTGGGCAGGGGAGCCAAAAACTAGCAACTTCTGTAATTTTGTTGGTTGAAAAAACACCAATATTTTCTAATTACTATTATATTGCAGGCACTTGCAGCTATCCCCTCAATTGATAGTGAAGCCATCCAACAGAGATTAGATCGTGTTCGAACCTACTATGAACTTCTAAACTTGCCATTTGAGGCAAGTAGTTACTTATACTTTATAAAGAAATGTTTCTCTTCTGCCCCTTACTGGAGATCATACTTCTTCTGTTTGCAGGCCTTACTTGCCTTCATTACTGACCATAAATACTTGTTCACAGCAGCAGAGTAAGTTGATGAAATTGGTAGTTGTCTAGCATATATGTTGGAAAATATTTGTTAATAATATACATCGGTCGTAACAGGTATTCTAGTCTTCTAAAGGTCAAGGTTCCAGGCAGAGAGATCCCTGTTGATGCAGGGGAACGGGTGTCAGAGATTCTTTCCCATTAACCTTTCTTTGTTAGATGGATCTATATGCAGGGATCTAGTCGGGCCCCCATGGTAGGGTTATGGACCGAGTGTTTTCTAAGATCCAGTTATGTCTTCCTAAAGATGGTGGGATAAGCAGCAGCAATCGCTCCATGGCACTGCTCGACGGTCAGTACTGCCGTTTGATGCAATGAGTACATATTGCTTATTTTTTGGATGTGGATGATTTTTCGCAAGTAGAATTCATTGTATACAATATCATTTTGTCTATGTGAGTTCATTTGTTTAATGTACACCCTATTAATTATCACGTTTGAGAACATATTCATATTAAGTGGAATGTGTAGCACGGCTAAGGTTTAAAAGATTGACATAATACGACCTGATACAGGACATATCTATTTCTCTCGAGACTATTTTCAAAAAAAAAAATATTTCTATAGAGACTAGCATGTGGCATGTGTGGAATGAAATGGAATAGCCCCATTTCTTACACATGCGCATATTGGTATCAATGTTTTAAGACTCGGTCCTGACCAGATGGTTGGACCATGAAAACCGGGAACCGGTAGACCTTTCCAAGTCCTGGTTAAATGACGGTTTTGGTGGGTTGGACGGGCAAATCTCCTGGTTAACTAGCTGACAGACCTACTAGACTAGACTGGCAAGGCCGCTACGAGCTGCTGTCGCTCACGAAGACTTGCTCTTGTACACTCAGAAAGGAAGGCGAGACTGCCGGCACTTACTCAGATCCATCCAGCAAGCGGAGTTAAACCGGGAGCTGGAGAGCATTCCAATTTTTACTCCGATCCAAGTCTTAAAACATTGGTTGGTAATGGTATCATCCATATCATGCCTGCCATGTCCAATTTGTATCGATTAAATGGTTGTGATGGTATGAAGAATTTTAAGATAGATCTATGAATGATCTATCAAATCCATTAATCCATCAAAATTTTGTGTCAAAAGTGTTTTTCTTTTTTTACTTTTATTCATAATTTACAGAAATAAAAAAAAAAGCAAAACAATTTGTTTTATTAATTAATATTTTTTACTCAAATAATTAATATTTATCAATTACAAGTCTATACTACAATTAAAAGTTTGAATATGTGGAACTTTTGTTTGACTAATATCCTAACTTTTTTAATTTGGTCCCTCTTTAATTGTAGGGACAGAAATGTCATTTGAATAACCACTATTCTCATCATTCAAATCCCTCTTATTAACTCTTATTTTTAAAGTATTAACTCCTATTAAATCCTATTCCTAACTAGAATACCCTTATTTTTGAATTTGGTCTCTCTCCATGTGTGAGGTGCAAACTTTAATTTGAACTAGTACATTCCTCCTCATTCAATTTCCTCTCATTAAGTCTTATATTTAGGGTATTAATTTCTATTCTTTCATAGAATCCTATATTAATTAATCATATTAAAGAAAAATAAATATGACAAAGAAAAACTGTTTTTTATTGATGATAGAAATAAAATGCAAATTCAAAACTATTTGGGGCAAATGTATCAATCCGATTAATGTTATAATTAAATAATAATAAAAATAAAAACACACACAAGTACAAAAAAATACAAAAAAAAATGTAGAAAACATCTAGGTACATCTCTAATATCATATATTTCACCATATTAAACAAAAATATGTTTGACAAATAAAATTATTTTTTATAGACATAGGAATATAAAAAATGTAAAAAAAATGTTAGAAACATTTTATTTACTATCACCATAATCATAAAAAATTGTTACATGCAGAGCACATGCACACTTATTGTAGTGATAATGATATGTATCTCAGAAATTCTAATGAAACTGATATTTTTCAAAATAAAGTTATACTTCTGTAAAAATAACTTAGCTTCATCAACAATTTTTAAGATGTTATATGGCCATTAGCTAGCAAGCATGCCCTCTTTCATCCTTCTTAGGCCATGTTTGATGATTAAGTGGTTGTTACAAGGTCCAAAATATTGATACGCCCAATACGTTGGTAGGGGCGTATTGGGCGAATCAATATTGCTTTTTCTTGTGTTTTTTTTTCGCAACCGGTTCAAGGGTCCGATTTAGGGCTCCTCCACCCCCTGATCAGACCCTCAATACACCCATTGTAGGGGCATATCGGAGGGGTCCCAGAATGATACGTATCAACCGATACGTGTTGATACTTTGAACCTTATTTCTTAGAAGTACTTATTTTAACAACCACTTAAGGCTATTTGGTAACCTAATTGTCAAATCACTTATTATGTTTTTAAACATTTATTAGGGTGGGGATGTTTGGTAAGTTACTTTCCCCATAAGTGCTTATATTGACACAAATGACAATTTTAGCCCTCACTCCACGTGGACCTCACATCATGACAATTGAGAGCCCATATAGATTCACACGTGAATCACCATGTAGACCCAATTAATAATAATAATAATAATAATCAAAAGATAACTAACATCTTTTTTCACAATTTAAGTTTCAAAGCCCACAAAATCTTCTATTGGTATTCCTACAATTGGAATGATGACAAACAAGCTGATAACCATCTTCATACGAATCTTTCAACATAATAAACACAATAAACACCAATCTAGTAAAATGAGATCTGAAACCTAGGACCATGTAAACATTAGAGAATAAAAATCATTAGAGAACAGCACTCTATTGTAAACATTAGAGAATAAGTGAACACACTATTGTGTTTATTGTGCTGTTCACAATAAACACAATAAGTGAACAGCACTCTATTGTAAACATTAGAGAATAAAAATCATTGACAGAGAAACAGAAAAAAAAAAAAAAACGCAGGCAGTTGTCTTCCTTAATAAGCAAAAGCATGCGACAATCAAAGCTCCAAGGGGAAGCTATGATGGGACGGGTTGGGTCTTAAGAGTTCTAATGGGACCGGTTCAGCAGAGCTTCACCACCAGTTCCCTTCTGAATTGTAAACATTAGAGAAGAAAAATCATGAAAGAGAAAAACAGAAAAAAAAAAAAAAACGCAGGTCTATTCTCTAGCAGTTATCTTCCTTAAACAAAAGCATGCGACAATCAAAGCTCCAAGCGGAAGCTAACGGGATGGGTCTTAAGAGTTCTAATGGGACCAGTTCAACGGAGCTTCACCATCAGTTCCATTAACCAGAGGTTGCAAATCAAAAGGGAACTTACTTAACTCGTATGTCGGCCTTATAATAGAAGAAAGTGGCCAAACAACAGGTCCGCTGGTCACTTTTCCTCATCGCTAATTGTCGCCAATGGGCCTATAACTGGGTGCGGTGTTACCTGGTAGATATGTTCGAAAGAGAAGAGATGGAGGTATAACCCTTGCATGGGGGTACTTTAGGTATTACAAAAAAATATTAGGGACTAGTTCATCCCATTTTTTTGGAGAAGTACTTCTTTAAGAAGTGCTCTGAAAAAAAAAAAAAAAAAAAAAAACTAATTTCATGTTACTTTTTAATAAGTACTTCTTCCCCACTTTTTTTACCAAACACATAAAACCACTTAATAACTACTTAATGTGTAGTCTCATCTCTTAAAAGAAGTACTTATAAGTGTTCTCAAACAAGGGCTTAACCCCTTTTGAATCTTGTGGTTTATTTGATTTTTTTTAGAAAGAACAGTGAAGGCTTAAAGCATTATTGCACTTCACTAAATTCTCTTCAAGAGGCATTTTACTTGTCTAAGGCATCACTAACCAATTTAAAACAAAGGTGACTCACTGGGATGGATGACCTCCTGGGAAATCCTCATGTTGCACCCCAACTTTTAACCAACTGGTGGTGTCTCAATTGGTAGGATCTCCAACTTGTTATAGCAAAGACTATGATCAAGTCCCGCTGCCACCAGGGTTAGGAGGTTAAGGGGATGGGGATGGGATACCCCCCATTGTGTAGCCTTATGATGCAAAAAAAAAAGGGGGTGTTTCACTGCTTTATATCAAACTACAATTAAATGCTTTATGTGAGGTGGAGCCTTGTTTCTATTTTCTAATGTGCATCTTCAAATATATATGTAAAAATTATAAGAACAAACCAATTCCTTAATCTGGGTTGTAAATGCAACCTGGGAGAGAGATGCCTAACCTCTTCTCTGTCCTCGATCCAATTGCACCTTTGAATCTCTTAGTTGGAATGCATTGGAGTGAAGTTAGAGTCACCATGTGAATGATCAATGCTTAGCAGGATGGTCCAATTCTAGTGGTGCAATGTTGTGATACTAGAGAAGGCATTCGAGTATCATGATGCGATGAGACATCCATGTGGTGTGGTAGCCTCTAGATGGGGATGTAGGATCTACTGCATGGCTTCACACTGTCCCTAATAAGGGAATTCTTGGATATGGTGCCACTAGTAGGAACTCTAAAGGCCTATTCGTTTACACTAAAGTTTGACATCTGAATACCTTTGAAATTGTAATAATTACTTTTAGAGGTGTATTGGAGTTGGTGAATTTTTCTTAGTTCTAAAGTCTAAACATAAAGAATGTGGTTCTAAAATTTGAATGTTGAGTTCTGAAAAATTACAGTTGACCATTTTAACCCTGGATATGAGAACATTTGTTTAATTATTTAACAAACTAATTAACAATTAATGAAATGAATATAAAATAATTTATAAATAATGGAATTGATAAAAAATTCTAAATAGGTAACTATTTTAAAGAATTGAGAAATTATTAATTAATTAATAATTATTTAAAATAAACAATTACATAATAATTAATTATGTAACTAATTATTTATAATTTTTATTCATTATCTAATTCATAATAATAATAAGAATAAGAATAAGAATAAATATTTTTAAAATAATTACTATTCATTATTTTTATAACTAATTATTAATTATATAAGTAAATAGATAAATAAATAATGCATAGATAATTAATAAAATATTAATAATTTGTATATATTGCCTCATCATCATCATTGTAGCATACATAAAAGGAGAAAGTTTTGGGGAGTAATTCTTGGAAAACAAAAGAGTGGAATCATATGAAAAGAAAGGATAGATTAGACGTTAAAGCTGAAGTGCAAAAATGGAACTAAATGCTCTAGTTGCCTTTGAAAACACATGAATGCTTTTCAATATTTAAAAAGCAAGGAATGGGCCCTAAGTCTATAACTGGAGATGGGATCTCTATTCTCTAGGGGGGGGGGGAAGGTTCAAAATTTCGATACGCCAATAGGGACGTATCGGACGATATCGATAGTTTTTTTTTTTACTTTTTTTATTTTTTCCAAAACCGATTCAAGGGGCCGGTTTAAGGCTCCTCCACCCCCTGAACTGGTCAAAACCCCAATACAGCCCCTGTAAGGGCATATCGGAAAGCCACCGGCACAATACGTATCAGCCCATACGTATCAATACTTTGAACTTGTCTAGGGGTGGTGTTGGTGCAAACAGGGAATGCCTGTATGGACATCACCCTCTCAAGATGCCTAATGCTCCTCGAAATGATGATCCATGAAGATGGGAGTCTTTTCAAAACGAATGAGCTGAAGCCTTGTATAGCTTTTGCCAAGGGGTAATATAAATCTCAAACGACTATAAATATAACCATACAGACATTTTTTCGGTAGTTTGTTAAGTATTGAATTACCAGGATGCACTTGGAAACAAAGTTCAAAATTTCAATACATATCAAGCGCATTGTATTGTATTGTTGGCTTAACGATGCACCCCTACAGGGGTCGTATCGGGGTGTAACCTGGTTCAGGGGGTAGACCAGCCTTAGACCGACCCCTCTGAACCAGTTTCAAAGAAAAAAAAAAAGGTGGGCGAGCTTCAATACAGGCCGATGCGCCCCTATCAGCATATAGGTGCATCAGCCTGTATCAAATATTTTAAACCTTGCTTGGAAAATATTTGGAAATGGTTAAACAATTAAAACATGCATATATACTCCAGGAAACCAACAACACAATTTATATTGAAACTTGAAAATATAAATTTTATCAATACCTAGGAGTTATCAAGTTATTGGAGTAGTAGGAGTTTATGGATAAAAAAAATGACAGTACTTGTAGAATGGTCTCACATCAACATGAATTGGGGCCAATACTACGTCACTTGCCATGTTTTAATTTCTGATCTCTCCCCAAGAATGGCTAAAAAGCCAAGTGAATGGATTGCTCCGGAGTTACCGAGCTAGACTGATCTCCAACCTTGAGATAATGCATAATCTGCACAAGTAACATGGCATCATCCTGTAACATCACTTCCACTCCCGTAAGTAACTCATCTGCAGGCTCCTTGCGTTGAGGGATGGAATAATCTTTACTGCCCCACCTTACAAATCTATCCAGGTATGAACTCCAGCAAGTTCAAGTCAGTACTGGTATTGTACCGAATTCAATATAAGTTGTTCCAAGAAAAAAGAAGAAACAAATATCCATATGAAGAATTAAATTGAAGACCCAATTTTCTATTATCAAGCATTTCTTGGTTCTGCATCATCTTTATGAATAAGAAAATTATATTAATCAAGCTTACTGGCTATCAATTGACCTATCTGTACAATGATTCAAACTTTGCTCTCTGCATCTCAAAATATTTACAGTTAGAGGGAGTAGCATCACAATATGTAATATTAAGAGGGTATCATATTCCTAGCCTCTTAACACCACATTCTGAGCAAAACTTGGACGTCTCTCTCAGATAGGGGGCTCCACATTCATCACAAAACTTTGCAGGACTCGTTGGCTGAAACAAAGGATAATGTCTAAGAGAAACAAAAACAATAATAAATAAATAAGCCAGGCAATTCATGAATACAAACAAGAAAATTGTCTTAATATATTTATAGAAAATGTTTCAATAGGAAGCCCTATTAGTAATTAATGTGCAAAAGTTGTTCAGTCAAACTGAAAGCCAAATAACTTCAATGTCTTGTCCTTTGCATCTTTTGTATAACATTGGTTTTCTTCTCTCTTTGGGTGCAGGTGGACCCTCCTCCGAATGTAGCAAGCCTATTTGACCCAAGTTTCTTCACACTACCTAGGAAAAGGGGTAGAGTGATGTGGAGGGCAACCAGAGCAGTCATCCCTTGGTCAGTCTAGGAGGAGAGAAATAATAAGATTTTCCAAGGGGAAGAAAGATCTAAAGAGCAGGTCATTGACTGCATAACCATTAAAGTCCTACACTGGCTGGAAACAACTGACCTGTTCGAAGAATTTTCAGCCGAGGATATTCTCAGGGGATGGTCAATAGTGGCAAATTCTTCAACTACAAAGACTGTGGTTCAGCCTTATTGGGTACCCACAACAAAGGGTGAAATTGAATTTTGATGGAAGCTCTTTGGGTAATCCAGGACCTTCTGGTTCAGAGATGGGGAGGGTAAGCTGTTAGCACTATACTCTGGCCCCATAGGTGAAGGAGATTCTTTGAGGGCTGAATTGTTGGCCCTACTACAAGGGATAAGGCTGGCGAAACAATGGAGCTTTCAAAATTTTGGGGGAGAAGGAGACTCTAAACTGTTAATAGGATGGCTGCAGACAAAAAAATTTGGGTGCATGGTTCTTAGACAACAAATGAGGGAAATACTCTACCTAGCAAGGGGACCTTCAGGGGGACCTTCAGGGGAAATCTTTTTTGGGCTGTGCTGTAAGAATTAAAGTTGTTTGGGGTCAACATTCATATTCTGAATGGTTGACAGTGTACATAATTAACTATTAAGCATAATGAAAGTTACTGTTTCCAATAAAAAAAATATATTTCCCGTGGCCTAGCTGCAATAGACATGTGAGGAACAGTGCAAGAGAGACACAATCACTGGTATGTGAGATGCTGAATATACTGACATGTTGAAATATTCACTTAATTTATATTCTAATATCATATTTGTTAACAAAATAGAGTCAATACAACACTATATGCCTAAATAGTTGGCAGGTATTGCTTAAGGGACAGCAACCGAACAAAAGGTCTTGTGCCTTCATTTTTCCACATACCACATCAGAGGGGACTTTGTTGCAAAGCGCCCCTCCCCCACCCTTCTCCCAATTATGTAAACATCAAAACAGTTCTTTATAATCACCCCCTGCTAAATGTTACCATACAGAAGACCTATACTGGCAAGTATACCTAGCATGATCAATATATGGAAGATATCAAGGCCCTCTACTTCTAGAGTAGGCCAAGCCCAGGCCGAATTAAGAATGTGAGAATTTTGAGCATTTTCTGACATATATTCAACCACAGCAATACCAACAATCAGTCTTCAACAATGTTTTAAAACGCAGAGGCGTGACGTTAGGCGTTCCACTACCTAGAGGCGTGAGGCAGTTCAGAACGTAAGAGGCGCAAGCCTCCCGAACACAAAGAGGCGTAAGCCTACTTAAGAGGAGGGGGGATGAGGTGGAAGGAGGGAGAAGAGGAAGGAGGATCTCATTTTTCTTTATTTTTAATTAAGATCATTTATATTAAGAAGAATGAAGATGCATATCACTAGTCAGATAGGGGACTGAGGGGTCTGGGGGCGAAGCCCCTTAGCCAAAGGGGTCCAGGGCTTAGTCCCCAGCCCACTTTCTTTCCTTCCCTTTCCTTTTCTTTTCTTTCCTTTTTTCCCCTTCCCTTTCTTTCCTTTCTGTTCCTTTCTTTTCTTTTTTCTTTGTTTTTTCTATCTTTTTACATGGGGTGTGCATGAGGTGTACGCCTCTAGCAGGCCTCATGAAAAACGTGTATGAGGCGTACGCCTTAGAGGTGTCAGCGCCTCTGGCATACGCCTCAAGGCGTTTTAGGGGCACCTTGCCTGGAGGCACGCCTCCCACGCCTTTTATAACACTGGTCTTCAACCCTATAACTGAGGGAAGATATTCTACAACGTTTGAGTCCTTGATGCCAACTAGGCCAGAAAACACCTTACTTACAGAACCCAATTGGAATAGCATACTTCCCAAGGAAAGGGGTATATGCACTTTTTTAAAAGATCCGCCTAGACATACAGACAAGGTGCATTTTGATACCTTCCCTGTGCTTGAACCCAAGCAACATCAGTTTCAAAAGGTATTTGCCTAGTGCGACCAGATGCACACCTGGGCTGAGGCACAAGGCAACCCATGCATGTACCATTTTAGTTTTTATACTTCTGTTTTTTTTTAAATTATTGTAATCGTCTATTACTTTAAGAAAAACCCTTTGGCAGTTGCTTGTGACCTAACCTTGTATAGCAGTTATGTTGTGCAAATTTTTAAAAGGAAAGCAAAGATATGCCCAACAAAACCTAGCTGAAGTACTGCAACTAAGAGAAAGAAGAAAAACCCTTTGGCAGTTGCTTGTGACCTAACCTTGTATAGCAGTTATGTTGTGCAAATTTTTAGAAGGAAAGCAAAGATATGCCCAACAAAACCTAGCTGAAGTACTGCAACTAAGAGAAAGACAAAGCAAACATTTCAAACTTGAGGAGTTTACTGTTTATAAAGCTTGAAGAAGGCAATAAGCAGTTCCACACATCATAACAGGTTAGAGATATGTATAGCTTTTTCTTTCCTTTTACTTTCTTTCTTGACTGAAACAGCTAAAACAGCTAACCAACTCACCACCAACTTGGAATCCCCTTCAATTATTAACCTTTTCCACATTCAAGTCTCTTGCAATCTGAACACCTTGGATAACAGCAAAAAACTTAGCCCTAACAGAATCCCTCACTCCTACTAGACCCGAAAACAATGCAACAACATTAACAGTAGGAGTGAGGGATTCTGTTAGGGCTAAGTTTCTTGCTGTTATCCAAGGTGTTCAGATTGCAAAAGACTTGAATGTGTAAAGGTTAATAATTGAAGAGGATTCCAACAATATTATAAAACGTGGAGGCGTGATGCGAGGCATTCCTACCTAGAGGCGTGAGGCGTAGTTCAGAATGCAAGAGGCGTAAGCCTCCTTAAGAAGAAGGGGGTTAGGAGGAGGATGAAGAGGAAGGGGGAATCTCATTTTTTCTTTATTTTTAATAAAAATCTTTTATATTAAGAAGAATAAAGATGCATAACATTAGTTGAAAGGGGTGGGGGGTGAAGCCCCCCAGCCGAAGGGGCAGGGGGCAAACCACTTTCTTTCCCCTTATCTTTTCTTCCCTTCCCTATTCTTTCCTTTTCTCTTTTTTTCTTCTCTTTCTTTTTCTTTCCCTTCCCTTTCTTTTCCTTTCCTTTCCTTTCCTTTCCTTTTTTTTTTCTTTTTTCTTTTTTTTTTCTGTCTTTTTATATCAGATGTGCAGGAAGCGCATGAGGCGTATGCCTCTAGCACACCTCATGAACGCCTCTTGCACCTGAGGTGTACGCCTCAGAGGTGTTAGTGCCTCTGGCATATGCCTCAGGGCGTTTTGGGAGCGCCTCGCCTGGAGGCTCCCACGCCTTTTAAAACATTGATTCCAAGTTGGTGGTGGGTTGGTTAGAAAAACCAGACTGTTATTTGGGCTTATAGGAATTTAATGAGAGAGCTCACTTGGTTAACCAGTAATATGACATTAAAAATACAATAGTGGTAAGAAGATTGGCCAACAGGATGGCAGACACATTGTCTAAGCAAGGGGTAAAATAGGCGTCCGTTGTATTGGGCTAAGTTTTGATGTTTGCACTGGACAGATGAGGGTGCACCTTGCATCTCTCCTTGGTAAGCTTGTATTGTTTGTTACTTTGTTAATTATAATAAATTATACTTACTTGTCAACAAAAATTAATCCGTACTTGATCTGGTTTTCATACCATATGCTTAAAGCTTCAAATATCTTCAGGATCTCATAATGTTAGGCTTTAAACACATTGAGTCTAACTTAACCTGTATGCCATTCCCTAAAATAATATCAAGACAGCCAACGTGTATCACATTAAAATCCAGCCAACTACCAACTACTTAGCTGAGAACCTGAGGTTATGACACATGAATCTTCAGATGCCCTCTCAAACAAATAATACAAGGCTATAAAACCATTCTCAAATAGTAAATAAAAGCTTCTCACATGGCATATCCAACTATCTTCATTGAATAACCCCACTTCCCCCCCCCCAATTTCTTTTCCATCAATCCATACAATAGATGATGTCAAGTATCCATAAAGCAACCTTTATGGATTAGGTACTTGTCCAAAACTTATGTCCACATCAACCATAAAGGCTTAAACTAGGGTGCAGGATTTGGACAGGTAGAGATGGGTTCTATAAGACTATACCAACCCAGCTTAATTCCAAAAATTTAATGGTGAACACAAGGCCAATCAAGGCCCAAGCATTAACCCATGTGGCACCGCCCAACCCTGATACAATATGGCTGAGGTTGGTTGGTAGGGCTTATTAGCTTAAGTGCATATCACAGTTAAAAACATATGAAGTCACAAGACTCAATCTAAGCCTCTTACAGATACAACAAAATAGTAATCACTAGTAGATGTGTTTCTGATATTCTCAATTTTGATATAGAAATACATAATGCATATGCAGTCTGCTTGGGTTGGGTTACCTGCGGCCTCAAACCAACACTATCCCAACTCATGGTTAGATTCAGATTCAAAAAGGTCAGGTTGGGTGAGACAGGGCTCAGATTGAACCCTGCCCAAGTTGCATCCATACAATATACACTTTTCTCTATCAATGTATTTATACACATGGAATTGTATTATATATGCATGATAGAAGCATAACCATACTGAAAAGAAAAGGGCAAAGGAATGATTAGCCATGGAAGCTTTATCTACGAGTGCCTGTAGAATGCTCAAACCTCAGAACCAAACCAACAAAACATACAAAATGCATGCTCTATAGTATCAACTTAATGCTAGAATACTGTTGTGGATAAAAGGGCTATTACCCAATGTTGGTTCCAGAAATCTGGGGTCTTGGGAGGGATGGACTAGACATGGACTTTTGGCATTTTTACACAAAGTAGCCACTTACAGACTTGAACTATAATTCTCACACCTGTCAGCCCTGATATTTACCATTGCAGTATTGCACCAAGCAATAGTTCCTTTTCACTCCCCAGTCAATGTTTCAAAGATTGAAGGAGTCTCTGTTTAAGAAAATGAGAAAAAATAGGTTGAATAAAAATACTTACCAGTACATGCAAGCGCCCTCCAACATGACCTCCAGTGAGGGGTTGCAAGCAAGACATGTGTTGGGGCATAGTTGGTGATTGATGGGCATGAGTCATCTCAGGCAAATGTGAAGGTCCACATTGATGTGTGTGAGAAAAATGCGGTGCATGTTGATTCTGATGGATGGGTTGATGATGAGTTTGGTGGAGAGCATGAAACTGAGGCTGATGGGAGAGTGGTTGCATATGATGTTTGGAAGGAGGCTGCCAACAAATAAAAGCATATAAGCATCCATCATAACAAAAATTGTTGAAAAAAGATATCTAGCTTAAGCGAACCCTGTTCACCACAACATTGCATTGAAATCATAAGGGATGTGTACCTGCCGAAGCATGTTCACACACATATACATACATGCATGCATGCACATACAACACACACACTACCCAATTAGTTGGTAACATCCCAAAAGTGCCATGGCTTTGGTCATCCTGAGCTCCCTATCAACAATTTTCATAAGGATGTTACAATATGTACAACAATCCTTGAATTAGATGCTCTTTTGTTGGCTAGAAGTGTCTGATCCATGTTTGGGTTATGGTCTATCCCATCATTGCTTTGTTGAATATTTTGGACAAATAAGCACCTGGGCAAGCACTTCTTAATTCTGATGGGTAGAAGCATCCAACCCATGCAACAATAAGGTTTGGTCTATTCCATAACTCATTAGTTGGGCATTTTGGATAAACAAGAATATGTGCAGGGTACTTACAACAATGCACCACCATCCTTGGTGACATCAGGGCACAAATTTATTTTCTCTTGACAAATATAAGTTAAAAAAGTATTCAGAAATAAATTACCATCTGTACCTATCATGCACCATGCAAGATGAAGAAGATCAAATATTCAAAGTTATAGATGAATTAATGGAGTTTCAAGTTACAATACCAGAGAGAAGGCACATCAAGTAATTCACTCTAATTGTGACCTTGTTTTTGAAAAAGGTAATGTATTATATTGATATCAACAAAAAGAACCCCCCCCCAAACTATTCAAATTGTGCCCAAAATTTTAAGGTGTCAAAACATGTCCTTTGGCAGATTACTCCTTTGATGACTTAAGGAGAAACTGGGCAGCAGTGGCTTTTACAGTCTCCACAAAGAACAAATCACAAGCTGAATGGAAACCCCCACCAGATGGAGTGGTAAAATTGAATTTTGATGGTAGCTGCCAAGGTAACCCAGGGCCATCCAAACTAGGAGGGATTCTGAGAGACAAAGACAACAACATGTCTTTATTTTCAGGTGTTAGACAGTTATGCCCTTAGCTCCAATCAGATTGATGTATCTTTTGACATTTATTGTAAATGAATAAAGTACATAATTGATTCATGTCATTGTGGTGTGTTTCTATGCAATACCCTTAAACTGGACGCTTATGAGACTCGTGTTAGTTTAAAATCTTCGCAGCCGTTGGATAGATCTAGGGAGATTTATCCTGCCAAGGCTGACACTGATGTGCCGCCAAGTTGGTTGGGGTGGCTTGTCTCAGTTGCTAGGGTGAGACCTGAGGTACATGCAATGTGAGTTTTCTTGAAACCCTGAACCGGACCAAATTCCAGTATTGCCCTGAACCTTGGAGATAGATGGGCAAAACTGGAATGTTACACCTGACCCCTAGACTCGATTATGGTACTGCACTACGTGTCGGATTGGGTTGTCTTTGATATGTCAATCAGTGAGATCCTTGGAGGGGGTCAAAACCTAGGTATGTTGGGACAGTCCAAGAATTCACCTAAGTGGGTGATCATAGTGATAGGATCAACCCCTTTGTCAGACAAAGTGAATGATCGGGGAAGGCATTCTCTCTGATGGAAACCTAAACTATTGGCAGTTGATTTCAAACGTTGAGATTTGTTTTGCAAAATATATTTATATAGATATATATATATATATTATGGTTTTAAAATGTTTGCAAAAGGTTTTACTTCCCGGGATCCATGTGAGTAGAGAGTGCAGCACTGTTCCTTGCAACCGAGGGAGAAGTCATCTCTTGTCGAGCAGTGTTTGATCATTATGGGCTAAGAGGTTAAGTGTGAAACCATTTAGGGTAATACCTGATGGGCTAATCTTGCATCTGCCCACAGCCCTCGGGTTTTCATAAGGTGGCTGGACCCAAAGACCATTTAGTGTAAATGTTGGGCCCATTAAGAGCCCATGGTGATGGACTCAGGGGTTCACTGTCTCCTATAATGAATTCGGTCAGGCCTTGTAACAAAGGCTGGGCTAAATCCATGTGGCTGATTTGTAGATCAATGTTTGGGTCCCACACCATACAAAGAGAGCCAACTAGGCAACAGGTTAAGGGATAAGTGAGCACATAAGCTCAATGGGCCTAAAGCCCAATTCGAGATGGGCTTAAATTAGTTAATTAAAAGGAGGCAATATATAATTTATAATCTGATTAAGATTAGCTGAAAGGATAAGATAAGTCTTATCCATTTAAGAGTCCAGATCCAAATATCATGTATGGATCAAGAAACTCTCTACTAATTAGATTAGGAGGCTGATCCAAAGAAGACTATAAATAGGGGGCGAATTCCTCGGTTTTAACACAACAACCTGCAGAATTCTCTCATATTCTTGCCATCCCTACCCAGTTAAATCTCCTCTTGAGGAATTGATCAAGAAAGGTTCTTGATATTGTTCCTTGGTTTAAGAAACAATTTGAAGACGTGCTCACCAGCCCCTGTTCGATTCTTGTTGAAGAATCTTGGTTCTTGCTGAAGAGCCATCCTGCTGATCCTGCTTCATCACACTGTGTCATTTTCAGTGGAAGCGGGTTTTGGTCTTCTCCTTGGCCGTGAACACCTTCATTGGGAGTTACTGCTACTTCGTATCAAATATATCCCTCTCCTCCCTCTTGGTTTCAAATCTGGTCCGGTTTTGGGTTCAAGATTGATACTTGAAAATGCAGTTTTCTAAAATAGGGAATGCGATTCCTAGATGGGAGAGAGAAAATTTTTTTAAATTTCGCCCAACCTTCCTGCAAGGGTTCAGCCATCCATACGATGGATCTCTCATCCCTTCATCAGGATCAGTGGGTATTGGTGATTCTATAAGGGCAGAGTTACTAGCAGCGATACAAGGTACACAAATGGCCAGTCAACTTGGAGTGAACAATTTGATATGAGAAGGGGATTCCAAGGTAGTAGTGGGCTGGCTGACAAGTCCAGAAACAACTTGTTGGGGCTACAGGGATCTGTTAAAGAAAATTAAATGGATGAGAAGAAATATGATAGTCAAGTTTCAGTGGGTCAGCAGATCAGCAAATGTAATGGCTGGTTCTTTGGCCAAGCAAGGGGTGTCAAGGGGGTCAGCAGATAAGGAAATATGACAGTCAGGTTTTGGGCTACTTCGTAATTGTTGTGTATGTTTAGTATATGGTTCAGTCCTCGGGGGAGGTAACACCCCGTGCCTCCTCCTAGGCTGACTGTACTTTCATTATTTGAATTAATAAAACTACTCTCATAAAAAAATGATAAAAATTTATTAGAGCATAATAAGGCTCACAAGAGAACATCCAGTAGAGGCGCAAGATGCAGCCCCGACCAGATTAACACGTTACAACTGAGCCCAGAATAATTCAGATTTATGCACCCCCTGTTTTGCAAAGAAATCAGCCATCCCATTAGCTGACTGCTTTTCCCATTGGACTAAAATTGTCATATCTCTGACCGCCACTTAAATCTTTTCATATATCCTTTTGTATTTCCAAATTACAGTTTCAGGTTCCTTCAACCACCCCATTACCAGTTTAGAGTCACCTTCTAATCAATCGAGAGAGCATTTTGATTCCATCACCGTTAGCAACGAAGATCCGGAATATCACACATCGGTCAATCAAAGAGACATTCAATAACTAAAAGAAAGCTTGATTTTTTGGGAAATCAATTCAAACTAAATGAATAGAGATGGAATCAAACAGATTCCTGAAATATCTTCCTGCATATTCCTCAATCCCCCAACTGCTCACAAAACATGAGAAGCAAATGAATAATCATCTGCTTCCCAAAGAAATTGGAGAATTTCTTAAGAATCCTACAAAATCAATTTGTTCCTTTTCTATGACAGATGGTCAGAACTTCATCTGAGTTTGAATCCTACTAAAAGGTCCACTAGAGATCAAAAATTGTTAAAGAAAACAATCCAGAATGTAATATGGTTCCAAAGGATGAAAAAGATATGGACCTACAATCAAGGATAAAGAATATATCAAATTATCAACTCCAAAGAATTAGTTAAGTGCTTACTTCACTAACAGGACGAAATCCCGGGGCAGTAGCCATTGCAGAAGAGTTTTCTGCTCCAGAAAATGCCTGAAAACATTTGGAGAAAGGAGAACAGATCAGGTTCATCTTTAACTTTAGTCACTAAACCCAAACAATGGATACATCAAGCTTACTGGCAATCCAGGAATATTAGACACAGAATGTGATGCAACACGCCTATACTTATGCCTAGGTGAATAGAACTTATAGTCTCGAGCTGAGACAGCTACTTCATGCCGACCAGTCAACCTTTTGAACCTGCAGTTTGTAAGATGTTTATCAAAAGAGAAGTTGAGAGATGAATAATTCAAGTTGCAACCCATATTTGATCTTAACTGAAAACTACCAAACTTCCAAGTTACATGTGTATAACATAGAATAGAATCCAGGTTGAAATGTTTGATCTTATTTGATCTTAACTGAACCTGCTCAAGGTTCAAAGTATCCGATCTTCGAGTACAAATGTATTGATGAAAAGATTCATCATGTAGAATAGTTGTTCATTTATGTTAAATAAGCTAGAGGATAAAAAAGAAATGTTATGTAAAACTACCCTCAAGAATCAATGGAGTGTCAGACTCAGACGCATGGCTGACATGACACAGCATCCATTTAGGAGAGCCAATGCAACACAACACTACATAGAGCATGGCCTAGCATGCAAAAAAAACACTTATTCTTTGAAACAGACCACTTCTTCTAGATAAGGATGGCAACAGATAGGGTACCCACGAAAGTTGCCCTTCCCATTCCCAAACCCACCTAAGCACCCCTGATCCCAAACCCATTTAACTTTTCCCCCCAACTTTCCAAACTTGTCCCACCCTTAACTCATTAAACCCATCATGACCTGTCTCACCAATTCAAATTCAGTTGCCTTAATTAATGCCCATTAAACTCACCATAACTAACTCTATTTAACACTCCATTTACCATAATTAACTCCATAACTAACTGTATTTGGCACACCACTCGTCGCATTAATTAATTCCATTAAATATATGCATCTCATAATTAACTCAATTGATTTCATTTAAGTCCATCTAAAACCACTCATATAAAATTAATACATTGTTGGAAGGATTTGAACCCAAATTGCTTAATTAAATGTTGAAACATATGTATCTCTCTTTTATGTTCTGAATAAATTACCTTACCTTTCCCCAAAAAAAAAACATATGTATTCTAATCACAAGACCACTCCACAATATCTTGTTAAACTAGCATAGATATGCAACCATATTATGTTCGTGTTTATTAAATAAAGAAAATTCATTTGCAACTACCAAAGTTTGTACCTAAGTTATTTTTTTTTTGTTTTAAGGAAAGCCCTTAGGCTAATTTGTTGCATCAAATCATTTCTAAGTACAAGCCTGAGAAAATCAAGAGGTAAACACCAAGTGGTAGTTCTCTAAATATAACATCCAAATTTAGCCACATGATGAGCTACCATATTGCCTGCACACATAGAACACAGGAGATCAAGGTTTGGTGAAAGCCTTGTAATAGTGTCCGGCAGTTAGCAATGATATTTTTTTATGAATACAGTCAGTAATGATAGAGTTCAAATGCAAGGAAGCTCACATTGAGGATCCAAGAGGAAGTTGATAATGTGTAGTGCATCTCCCTCGACAGAAACTCTTGTTATGCCCAGGAATCGGACCATAATCAGATCAGATCTGAATGTGTTTGCCTCTATTATCTCAGTTATCCATTTAAGAGGTTATATTTTTTGGTGGCTAACTTCATAAGAGAATATAATTTTACTACAATGACATATCACCATTATTTATTAAACTTAGTATATTTTAAATTTTGTAACCTTTTACATCATTATTAATGAGATTTGTCATATTAGTTTGCTACGCTATGCATGTATATTTTAATTATCTACCATTTGTCGATGTTTCCTTGGGATATTCTGGTAGTTTGCATTTCACATTTGTATGGTGAAACTACACTTGATATAAAGTCATAAATTATTAAAATACGTGTTTCTTATGTATATATACCTTATTTAGAGTTATTAGAGCTACAAATTAAATATAATTCATATATTTTTAGTAATATATTTGAATTTCCATGTTGTTCCTTATGTATCTATACCTGTTTACTTTGTATGTTATTTCTTATAAAATATATAAGATATATTTAATGATATATACATTGTGTTAAATATAATTGGGTTTGGGTATCGATAACCCTAAGGTCAAAACCCAACCCTATAGGAGTATAGGATTTTAATCTAAAATCCCAAACCCTACAAGGTTTTGATAAGTGTGTCCTATTAGGATTGGGTAGCCAAAATTTTCCATGAAATTGTCATACTACTCTAGACATTTCCAATGTATTTCCCATATTTGGATGATCGACATTTCAACCAACACCAACATTTTAAACTGTTCTCAACAATCCGACTGATCACAGAACCCAAACATTTGATTAGGACACTGGATTGAGGAATCTGGAGCCTACGAAGTCAATGTTAAGGTCAGAAATTTAGGGCTTCCAAGTACAGGTCTTACTAAAAAATCCTCAGGATTTGCAGCAAGTAATAAACTAATAATCAGTTAAAAGTATGCTCCTACGGGGCAATAGCCGCTTTTCTGGAAGACAAAGAAGGGGCTTTTAAGTTAAATGTTCAATGGATTGCAAAATAAAGGTGCTAAAATAAAATGCTGAGAATCTTCAATGCTCATTAATTACTAAGAAAATTCATTAGAACTTACGAGAAGCCCAATACATTTTAAAAAGCTTCTTTCTTTTTTGGTCTTCTTTTCTTTTTCCCAAGAAATTCCAATGCAAACAAAAAATACTAGAAAACTATTAACAAGGTACAGAAGATCAACCAATGTAACCTCACCCAAAAATTCCAATGGACATTGTGTAACAATTTTAACAAACAGAAGTTCATTTCATGAGGTATCAAAGAGAAAAAATATGCAAAAAATATAAGATTCCAGCTTACCATTCTGCATCATCAATAGACAAACTATTTGGTTTTTCAACAATCACCAGACCATTGACCACTACAAAACGAACACGCTTCTCTTCTTGTATCACTAGCTCAGGAAATCTTGTCCTTGTTTCGACAGATGTTGCCAATTCCCTTCTTTTAAAGGTACAGGGTCCTGAAGTGAAAGCAATTAATACAGATCAAATTAAGGATGAAATAAACTCAAAAAGAATATATTGCAAAAGGACACAGTAATACCTTTCCTTGGAAACTTTTTGGCTAGCCTTCTATACAACCCACCAGCTGCTTCAAGGGCTACCCCAATTGTCTTTTCGCGAATACCATTTAAGGAAGCAAGTCTCATATTCACTTCATTAACTAAGGTCTCATATAAATTTGCGACATACATTAAGGGCAAAACAAACCTTGGATCACCTTCATATTGAACTTCTCTTGGCTTCCTCTTGTTTAGTTTATCTTGGCCCGATTGGGAAGCATATTCTGCCTCAGTATCCTGTACTTCAATTACATGCTCACTAATAAAATGATCCACAAGTATTTGTAAAAATCTCGCTCTTGCAGTTTCAATTGGGGAAATATCTGGTTTCAGTTCAAATAAAACTAATCAGACATATTCAAATTGGAAAATCCCACAAATATCCAACATGTAACCCAATGAACTTCCAAAATGATATTTTGAACAAGTTAACTAAAACATAAAAGAGAAATTAGAAGTCACCATCAATAGTCAGAATATCATATGTGGACCTTGAAGACCCACTATTTTCAAGACCAGAGCGATCTTCTTCTACTCCAACACCATGAAGCGGTAATGAATTACTATAGGATTCGTGTATGCAGTCCTGGAGGATTTAAAAAACAAAAAACATAAATGCAAATTACTGCAGCTGCCGCGGTACAAAGGGAAAAGAAACGAACTTTCCTTTATTATAGCAAATCTAATAGACTAATTTATAATTCCCATTAAATGTGACAAAGGAGCTAACGGCCTACCCCAAAAAAATAAATAAATAAAATAAAATAAAATAAAATAAAACAAAATAAGTTCCCCTGCAATACTGAACCAAACAGTTGAAGTTCTTGAAGGGCAATAATTCCAAAATGAATTCGAGTTTGAGTTCAAATTGGTTCAAGCTACGCTGGAATCAGAGTAATGAGAGTTCAAATTCTAGAAAAGGCTGAGCACGAAAGAGAACAAAAACAGAGAAAAGTAAATGTGACTAATTTATAATTCCCATTAAATGTGACAAAGGAGCTAACGGCCTACCCCCCCCCAAAAAAAAATAAATAAATAAATAAAATAAAGCAAAATAAGTTCCCCTGCAATACCGAACCAAACAGTTGAAGTTCTTGAAGGGCAACAATTCCAAAATGAATTCGAGTATGAGTTCAAATTAGTTCAAACTACACTGGAATCAGAGTAATGACAGTTCAAATTCTAGAAAAAGGCCGACCATGAAAGAGAACAAAAACAGAGAAAAGTAAATAATATCAATACAAACTTACAACAGAACTGGATTCATCATCGTTCCCCAAGCTATCTTCAGTCACAGCATCACGCTCCACATCACTGATGCCTTCAATCTCCCCAGTCCTTGCATCCACAGTGTTGAGATCATGCATGGAGCTTCCAATATATGAATTGGCCGACCTCAGATTGTAATGCTGAACAGGAACTCTAGTTCCCATCGCTCAAAACTAAAGAATCCACACTCCAAAGTCCTAGAGCAGTGGCCCTCCGCCCTCGTACTACCGTCTTCAAACCCTAGAAGTAGAAGATCAGCAACCAGTATCCACTCCCACCATTTCGAAGAAGAAGAATAGAAGTGCAGTGAAGCAGATGCCGGATCCCTGAATCCATGGAAGGTTTTGAGATATTTTCCCGCTTCAATTTTAAGAGAAAGAAATAAATGAGAAAAAATAATAATAAAATTCAAACCCTAACGGCTATTTCGTTAGTTTCTTCACTTTCTCGGTGACGAGATTTTTCCAAACTTTTCTTTTTTTTTTGGTTTTTTCTGTGATTTTCTGTTCCAAACCTCTGCCCGTACCTGAGCTTTCGACTCCGGAACCAGTTTCCAAGCCTCTCTCTGATCTCCACACCTGCTTCCAGGCCGGCGGGCCTAGAGATACTTTAAATAGTCAACCCTTGTATCAAAATAAGCCAACCCCGTGTTCCGCTGGATTTTACTAATATGCCCCCGGTCCCGAGGGGCAACCGGGCGAGGGCCCATCTTTTCTTCTTGGGTTTGAGCCAGGTGGACGCATATAGCCCAGTTGAGCCACATATATAGCTTGATTGGTCTTAGCCCGTGTTTCGTTAATCCAAAATAGGGTAAATCTCTTAATTACCCATTTATTCTAAGTGTTTACGAAATTGACAAACTGTATCGTTATTGTTTACACTACTTTTTGATAATCGGCAAACACTATTATATTAACGGAAAAAAATGAAATATCGAATTTATCCTTTACTATTCATCAATTTTTCAAAATAAAACCAATTGATGAAAAACCTCAGATTTCCAGTTATTTTCCAAACTCAACGCATAAACCCTTTCTCTCTCTCCATCACTTGTTCTCTCTCCACCAGCCCCACTTAGCGGCCTCAGCCCTGAGTCCCGCTGCACTGCCGTAGTTGCTCTATTTCTGTTGCGTCTGCAAAAGCCCTACTTAACCTACCTCGAATGAACTCTCTAAGAAATTTACAACTTCTAGATGATAAAAGCAATGTTCAGAACATTGGCGCATAAAAATTTGATTGCGTGAGGTATGAAAGGTTCTCTGCCTCAACTCGTTCCCCGTAATCCAACACAGAGGCTTGAAACAGAGGTATACATCCCCACCATGCCTCCACTTCCCCAAGTGGATTCTTCGTCGGATAAATTTGGATGGAGTTCCATAGAAGTCAGATGTAGAAGTTGAGAGTGGGCTGAGACCTCACAGCGAGCTGACAATGATTGTTTCTTGCAATAACAACAACCAAGCACAGTAATGATCCCTTAAGATTGCAATGTCAACATGAAAAAAAAAAAAAAACAAAATCAGAAAATATTCTAGTATTAATCTTTATGAGGTCAAATCCTTTTTTTGCCTTTTTTATTAAAAAAGCAAAATAAAACAGAGTTTTACTCCATAAACCAGCATATTGTCATCTTTCTTTCTTTCTTTTTTTTCTAAAATAACTCTGTTCATCATTGGTTGGTTCATTGCGGGTCAAAAGATGTGTAGATATAGCAGTAGACATTGGTTTTCATTCCTTTTAACCTATTCAACTTTATGAGGCACAGCATTGCAGAATCAATGGGAGTTAAAGTTTTATCCGCTGAGCATTTTAGGGTTCCATTGAAGAAAGGAGAAGAAAAGGATAGTTCTCTTGTGTAAAAGCATCCCGATGTATCGTTTCCTTCTCCCTCGTCGACAGGTCCTGTCATTGCTTCTTCTCCCTTGGACCTTGGTCTTCCTATTGCATTGCGGAAAGGTAAACGCACCTGTACTTCTCATCCTATTTCACACTATGTTTCAGCTGCTCACTTTTCTGCTTCTCATCGCAACTTTATATCATTGTTATCATTTGTTTCCATTCCCAAGACTGTCCAGGAAGCCCTTACCTCCCTAGGGTGGCGACAAGCCATGGAAGAGGAACTCTCTGCTCTACAACACAATCACACGTGGGAACTCACTGYTCTTCCTCYTGGTAARCATGCTGTTGGGTGTAAGTGGGTCTACACAGTGAAGTATCTTCCAGATGGCAGTGTGGAAAGATTGAAGGCTAGGTTAGTGGCCAAGGGCTATTCTCAGCTATTTGGTGTGGACTATATGGAGACATTTTCTACTGTGGCTAAAATTGGTTCAGTTCAGGTGTTGATTTCATTAGTTGCTATGTATGATTGGCCTCTTGTGCAACTTGACATCAAAAATGCTTTCCAACATGGTGATCTCATTGAGGAAGCGTATATGGAGCAACCGCCAGGGTTTGTTGCTCAGGGGGAGGATGGTAAGGTTTGTAAACTCAAAAGGCAAATTATGGACTGAAACAATCTCCACACACATGGTTTGGCAAGTTCAATGAAGTAGTGAAAGACTTTGGGATGAAACAGTGTCAGGTAACCATTATGTGTTCAACCATGAATCAAAAGATGGGAAAATCTTGCTAGTGGTGTATGTGGATGATATTGTCATAACTGGGAGTGACAGTAATGGGATTGACAGGTTGAAGAAATTCCTACAGGACCACTTCAATACGAAAGATTTGGGTAAGCTGAATTACTTCCTGGGAATAGAAGTTGCAAGGTCAAGGCATGAAATTAACTTATGTCAAAGAAAATATGTTCTTGACCTACTTGAAGAAACAGGACTGTTAGGTGCTAAACCAGTAGAGACTCCTGTGGAACTTAATGTCAAGTTGAGTGTTGATGCAAGTGAAGAATTTGATGATACTGGAAGATACAAGAGGTTTGTGAGAAAGTTGAATTATCTGACTATTACCCGACCAAATATATCATTTGTTGTGAGTATGGTGAGTCAATTTATGCAACATCCTCGGATTCCTCATTAGAAAGCAGTTATAAGGATTGTTAGGTACCTGTCGGGTGCTCCAGGTCGTGCTTTACTATACCAAAGTGGAGGGACTCTTGAAATATTAGGGTATGCAAATGCTGATTGGGCTGGTTCTATATTAGACAAGAGACCAACTACAAGGTATTGTACCTTCCTTGGTGGCAATCTTCTAACTTGGAAGAACAAGAAACAAATAGTGGTGGCAAGGAGTAGTGCAGAAGCTGAGTACAGAGCTATGGCTCATACCACATGTGAACTAGTATGGTTGAAAAACTTGCTACAAGAGATGGGGTTTTCGGTTGACAAACCCATGTGACTATATTGTGATAACCAAACTGCTGTTCACATCTTTTCCAACCCAGTCTTCCATGAGAGGACCAAACATTTTGAGGTTGATTGTCACTTTGTGAGAGAGAATGTGAAAAGTGGAGTGATAACCACATCTCATGTGAGCTCAAGAAATCAATGGGCAGATCTCTTTACAAAGGGATTATCTCAGAGCAGAGTAGATTATATTTGTGACAAGCTGGGACTATATGACATATACTCTTCAACTTGAGGGGGAGTGTTAGAATACACAAATCAAGGGTATTTTCGTCATTTGGGTTTATCTATTTGAGAGTGAAAGGTCTATTTTATTTAAGTTTAAGTTATATGTCCCATCACTTATGAGGGACAATATGGTCTTTCTTTTGACTGTATTATTGGAGATAAATACAAGTAGGTCGCCTAGAGGTGGACTGATTTTTCCTAATTTGGTCGAACCCTTCTTCTTCTCTTCTTCTTTCTCTTCTTCTTTCTCCTCTTCTTCTTCTTCTCTTTAACCTATAATGAAATAGGGATTTCACAGACTTTATGGTCTTATTGAAAATCCTTGGAGATGGAGCCAACTTCATTGAGGCTACTAATTCTGGAGTCACCTAACATAGTAGAGGCCCCTCTGAAAATACAATAATCCAGTGTCCAGGGCACTGGTCATTAGAGAAGCCATCTCAATCGTTGTCGTCGATTCATACCCCTGTTGACAACGATACCAAAATCATCATCACCACTACAACTTCCAACAATGGCGGTGAACAATAAGGGTATTTTAGGGATTTTAAAAAAATTACCAATCACATGATGTCACATGTGAATAGAGTGTGACGAAAAATTAATGGTAATGGAGGTTTTAGACAATTGTTAGAAAACTTAAGGGTAGCTTAAGACAATATGTAAATAGTAAGGGTAGTTCAAGAGATTTACCCTAGAAAATATGAGAACAATGAGTTGAGGGATGAAATTGTTTATTGATGTATTTGGTTTGTGATATGTCGATCGATACATTGAGGCTCTGTTCCAGTAAATAAGAAGGGAAACGCTGGTTAATAGAAATCTTTTTCTCATTGACAAACTTTATAGTGTTTGTTACATTAATTATTAGGTCTCATAGTGAAAATAGCTCCATTTATCTGAGTAAAACTTTTTCATCTCTCAGATGAGTAAGTAACTTTCCCACTTGGGGGAAAAGTTTATAAAACATGATAGAACAAGTTTATCCCTTTTAACATTAGTTTTTTTATAGGTAAAACGTCACTATATCTTACTCGTTAATCAAAAGAACATGGGTAAATTAATTTGTTCGGGTAAGTGTTACCCAAGAAACATTTACCTGGATAAATACAATTACCTGGGTAGGTAAATAAGCAGGGTCTGAATGGTGAATGCACCACTAGAGTAAATGCTAGAAATATGTTGGAAGATTTCTTCTAGTGTCAAGAGTGTGGGAGTTTGCTCTATAAATGTGGTAGATGTATGGACAGCCGATGAACCATCTAGTTGTTGCTAGGTTTCCATATGATAAGGGTTATAATTGAAGGTGACTCAAGATTAGTTATCAAAGCGCCCATGGAGTATTAACACCACCATGGAACATCTCATACATCCTATAAGAATGTTATGAATCTTGATGTTGCAAGAGATTTCATCTAACTATGACGTATTTACATGTTCTTCTCGAAGCCAACTTTGTTGTTGACTACCTTGCCAACGTATGTCACGTGAATCAGATATGTTTTCTAACAATCATAAAAACCTCTCCTATGTTTTCACTTCAATAAAATTCCCATATACTTTTTAGAAAACAAGCAACTACTTCCCTTCCTACATAGAAATACCAACCTAATGTGTTGTTTAAATGTCTATTTTGCCCTTATGCCTATTTATTTAAATGTAGAACTATTAAAGGGCAAATTTGTTAAAGTAGCCTCATGGTTTAGCTAATTGACTAACTTTACCCTCATGGTTAAGTACTAACAGAAAATAACAAAATGTCAAATTTGCCCTTTATTATTCTTCAAATTTTCAAAATAAAACATAACTAATCAAAAATTTTAGGAAGATGAGGAAGCTAATTGATGCTTCGTCTTCGTCTTCACCTCCACCTCCATCTCCGATGCTTCACATGGTGATCTCTAATCCCGCAAGTGTTCTCACCTTCTTCACTCTCTGTTGGATTGTTTATCTGGGTTTCAACCCTGCCTCTAATTCGGAACCACTAAATTTGATAACAATGATAGTGAAATCAAAGGGTTTTAGTCTCAATTTT